CGACCCACACCAGTCCACTAACACCCAAGTACCCATTTTAAACTGTTGGGTGAACAGAGACAGGGACAGCAGGTGTCTTACGGAAACACATCCCTAATGTTTACCAGCGGTACCGGAGGAGATTCGAACCCCGGACCTAAGTGTGTGTGAACTGAGTGACCTAGCGATCGAACTACATCCAATATTAATCATAAGAGATTGGTGCTGTGAACAAACAGAAGAATGGATGGAAAGGGGGATGATTCGAACCATGGTCATGCATACAGTGGGCCCAGAGCTGCAACACAACTGTGGAATGCTGGAAAATATCCGAATTCATGATTCAAATTCGTAGAAACGCGTGGTTTCTCAGTATTTTTTAATCAGTTTCAATTAATTCTCTGAACAGCATTTCAAAGGGAAAATAAGAAAAATTCTCGGCATTTTTAATAAGTGAATATAGTATTTATTGCTTTATTATTTTTTAAAAGTGTTTTTAGTGTTCTTGTTTGTGTCCTTGCTAGAGAGAGTGAGGTTTCCATCTTGGGAATGAGGTTTCCATCTTGGGAGTGAGGTTTCCATCTTGGGAGTGAGGTTTCCATCTTGAGAGTGAGGTTTCCATCTTGAGAGTGAGGTTTCCATCTTGGGAGTGAGGTTTCCATCTTGGGAGTGAGGTTTCCATCTTGGGAGTGAGGTTTCCATTTTGGGAGTGAGGTTTCCATCTTGAGAGTGAGGTTTCCATCTTGGGAGTGAGGTTTCCATCTTGGGAGTGAGGTTTCCATCTTGGGAGTGAGGTTTCCATCTTGAGAGTGAGGTTTCCATCTTGAGAGTGAGGTTTCCATCTTGAGAGTGAGGTTTCCATCTTGAGAGTGAGGTTTCCATCTTGAGAGTGAGGTTTCCATCTTGAGAGTGAGGTTTCCATCTTGAGAGTGAGGTTTCCATCTTGAGAGTGAGGTTTTGTTTGCAAATACTTGTGTTTGCAAGTACTTGTGTTTACAAATGTACTCGCCTATATGTGGTTGCACGGGTTGAGTCACAACTCCTGGCCCAGACTCTTCTCTGACCGCTACTAGTTGCACTCTCTCCCTGCTTCAAGAGCCCTATCAAACCTCTTCTTAAAGCTAAATATGGATCCCGCCTCTACTACTGTTTACAGTGGCGAGACCTACTGCGCCCCTTATGTCTAAAGTTCTGGGTAGACTAAGTTCTCTATACAGTCGGTGCACGGTATATAGGATGTACAGTACACGCTGGGTGGACGGTACACACTGCGTGCACTTGCACTGGAAGCATGTCTAGTTCGTCTGACCTTTCAGGATTCCAGTCCAAGATAGAACGAAGGTCAGGATGAATTCAGAATGTCAGTGAAGAATTCATCTCTCCTTCCCTTCACAGGGTGACCCTTCACTGGGTGACCCTTCACTGGTGGGTCTGTTTCGGGGCACCAGTGAAGCACACGCATCACAAATGACGTCAGGAGACGGGATATATGCGACAACGTATTAGTCATGCTGAGCTTTGACGTCGTTCGTCACTCTGAGATCGAACTTGGTCGATAAGTTTATCTGCTAAGGTTATATTATTTTAAACATCACCCGAAGCGTCTCATATTTACGCAGTGTCCCCCTCACAGAGGGTGTGTGTGTGTGTGTGTGTGTGTGTGTGTGTGTGTGTGTGTGTGTGTGTGTGTGTGTGTGTGTGTGTGTGTGGGTGGTGTGTGTGTGTGTGTGAAAAGTTCCCTTTTATCAAAGTGGTACTTAAGACTGGGGACGTTTTCGTAACCCCGAGAACCAGGTCTCCACACTGGATAAGCCACTGTTGACTGGAACAGTGACGAACAGTGCAATTGTTAAAGTGAATTGGCTAACAAAGTAACTGGGATTACCTGCCACTGAACGAGGAACCATTCGTAACCTGAGATAAATAACCAGTAACTGGACGAACGACCGCAAGGACACAGTTAACTAAGGTGACTTCGAGAAGTCACGGTCTTCCTGAACACTCACACCAGACAGCATTCCAGCACTGTGTCACCTTCAGTAAGTTTCCGCTTTTCCGGTCCTAAGAGTCTCGGGGATTTACCAGGAAGCAACGCGAATTTATTTAATGGGAAATTTGTAATTTCTGCGATCACAAGGGCAGAGAGATGCTCTTAGTGAGCTGAGTTTTATATTTGGTAAGGCTTATTATGGTTTAAACACTTGCGGTAATAGTGGCAGTCACCGCCACCTATTGGCGTCCAATTCAACTAATCTTCACTGTCAACAAAGAGTTTCTTTTGTCTTATCTACTGTTTCTTTCGTGTTCCTCTATTATTAATTATATTATTATTATTATTATTATTATTATTATTATTATTATTATTATTATTACTATTATTATTATTATTATTATTATTATTATTATTATTATTATTTTTATTATTATTGTTATTATTATTATTATCATCCTTATTATTATTAGGAGTGTTAATCCCATTGAGAATAAACGGCAGTCAGGCGCAGTCTAAAGAAAGGAAGGGTAACCCCAATTCCTCGGTTCAGGAGCCCTTTAAAATCATCGAGGCACGACCCTTGAAGGGGTCGTTTCTGTTGCTGGTTCTTTTTATTATGAAGATCTTAAAAACTCTACAGTAGAGGAGGTCCCTCCAGGTCCCACTAAGTTCTTCCAGGTTTCGCCTGGTTCCTCAAGGTCCCCCGAGATCCCTTCAAGTCCCTCCAGGTCCCACTAAGTTCTTCCAGGTCTCGCCTAGTTCCTCAAGGTCCCCCGAGATCCCTTCAAGTCACTCCAGGCCCCACTAAGTTCTTCCAGGTCTCGCCTAGTTCCTCAAGGTCCCCCGAGATCCCTTCAAGTCCCTCCAGGTCCCACTAAGTTCTTCCAGGTCTCGCCTAGTTCCTCAAGGTCCCCCGAGATCCCTTCAAGTCCCTCCAGGTCCCACTAAGTTCTTCCAGGTCTCGCCTAGTTCCTCAAGGTCCCCCGAGATCCCTTCAAGTCACTCCAGGCCCCACTAAGTTCCTCCAGATCCCGCCTGGTCACACCAGGTCACAAAGATAGCCAACAGTGACTCAAGAAATCGTAATGACACGATTGCAAACAAACCATACCCCCGGCCGGGATTGAACATTCTCTTTCTTTTGAGGTCATCTGGCGATATGTTCTTTAGTGATACCACAAGCTAATTTCATACAAGTTTATAATATGTCTTGACAATTTATAATTCTAGTGAGTCCTATTTCCCCTGTTTATAAGTTAAGCCTTTTTAGAATGCCACAGTCCATTTACTGTTCCATTTGTTTAGTCAGTACAAATCTTCTTGTCATGTCAGTATCAGCGAATGAATATTTGCAATATTAATTTCATGTATATTTACAAAATATTTCATTGCCTGTAGCTGCTCATTTCTACGGATTAGAAACAGAATAAGATTGATACAGATGACAGCGCAGATATATAGGACAGTTCGGATATATATAGGTCAGTGCAGACATATATAGGTCAGTGCAGACATATATAGGTCAGTGCAGACATATATATGTACATTATATAATATATATAATATATATATATATATATATAATATATATATATATATATATTATATTATATATATATATATATATATATTTAAAATATATAGGACAGTGCAGATATATAAGACAGTGCAGATTTATATAGGACAGTGTAAATATACAGGACAGTGCAAATATATTAATTTATTATCATTATCTATATGGTTATTCAAGTTTAATGTGTTATTTTTTTTCCAAAATATGACCAGTAGCACTTGTTTGCAACATCGGCCACTAATTGCAAGTGTTTATCATCCTGTTACATCTTGCTAGTAAAGCACGTATGGAGTCCGCCTTGCTATCTGCCTTTTCTTTCACGTCTCATTTCTTCTCAAACTTTGCAATGAATCATTTCGTATTTAAGTTCAATAAGTCTCTTTATTCTCGTGTCTATGTCAGTTTCTGTAAAGCTTCTCGACACTCCTGAGCATCACATTCGCCCAGACCAAATCTCATAAGACTGTAGGAATAATGGAGGATGGCAGTAGACCAGGTGAACAAGACACAAGAGGGTAACACCCGGGTGTCTTGACTGACTCGTTTCACTTGCAAAGTACGTCTTTTCAGTCAAATACAAGGGCGACTATTATACCGGAGACGATGGAAGAAATGGAGTGGTAACTCTAAGGTGTTCAGTCCCGTGCCTTGATATAGGAAACTGAACATCTGTCAAGGTTATGGAGGGAACACCTTAAAAATACCTCACCACGTCTTACACTGTCTCAAGTATAATTGTCGCTGCTGTATTAAATCTAAAAAAAAAAAGACTTGCGCAGGCGAAATTCCTCGTCAATAAAGGTATTCAGGTACTGTACGTGCGTCTTATATGCCATTAATATAAACACTTCTACTGTCCATGTTGTGCTAGGCCATCCACACCCCTTCATGCGCCTTTCCAACCTATTTTTAAAACCTCTCGTCAGCAACTGCATTACGAAATCAGAGTTTTCCTAAATCCTTACTAAATCGTTGCCCAGCGGTGAGAGTAGCCACTCTCATTGCTGAGGTCCAGGTAACAAACCCTGGAGATTAACCTAAAAAACCTACCAAATCTAAATTTGTCCAACATCATCTCATTACTGCGATTCCTGTCTTGGCTAGGTAATTTTAGAACGTTATTTATATCCCGGTTTATTTATTACGGTTTTTCATTTGTTAACAGCAGTCACGATCCCCATAACGCTGAGTTTTACCCGGAATGTAAATTTAGTGCCTTCAGCCTATCCATGTAGGGAAGATTCCTGATACAGAGGATCAGCCTCGTCAACTTTTCCCTGTATGCAAGTACTGGTATGATAGGAGCGACAGATTGCAGGAATAAGATACATACAATATATTTATGAGAGGAGATGTATGTGTCTTACTCCCACTATATATGTTTGTATAAGCTTCTACCTCTCTCTTTATCCATTTGTCCGTCAAGTGTGCTGACTTGTTTGTTTCTCTCCCCAGGCGGCGCCAGCCAGGCCCAGCACTCAGCAGCATGACGCTACCTTCACAGGTGAGTATAAAACCAACACCCACGCCTACACACCTGCCCATGACAACACACCCACCACATACACAACCACACCAATACACCCACTACACACATCACCACCACCAACACACCCACTACACACACACACACACCACACCAACACACCCACTACACACACACCAACCCCACACTAACACACCCACTACACACACCACCACACCAACACACCCACTACACACACACCACCACACCAACACACCACTACACACACACACCACCACACCAACACACCCACTACACACACACACACACCACCACACCAACACACCCACTACCTACACCAACACCTCCCATACATCTACAGTACTTATTAATCACATTAAAAACTCAGTATACATTCGCCAAATCCACAATTTCTTTTTCTGGTGAAAACAAATTTTGAAGATAAGTTGTCTTGACAAGTCGATGTTTTGGTAAATCCTACAATCTTAAAACTTTCAATAAGGTGACCTGACCTTGATCTTCCTAAATAGCAACCAAGGAACAAAATGCTCAGACCTACAAGAAAAAGGAACAAATCAAAATCTAAAACAAAGTCATAGGTCAATATCCACAAAAAAGGACAAGATTACGAGAGCCACAACAAAGATCCAGATTACGAGAGCCACAACAAAGATCCAGATTACGAGATCCACAACAAAGATCCAGATTACGAGAGCCACAACAAAGATCCAGATTACGAGATCCACAACAAAGATCCAGATTACGAGAGCCACAACAAAGATCCAGATTACGAGATCCACAACAAAGATCCAGATTACGAGATCCACAACAAAGATCCAGATTACGAGATCCACAACAAAGATCCAGATTACGAGATCCACAACAAAGATCCAGATTACAAAGTTTCCACAACAAAAAATCCAGATTACGAGATCCACAACAAAGATCCAGATTACGAGATCCACAACAAAGATCCAGATTACGAGATCCACAACACAAGATCCAGATTACGAGATCCACAACAAAGATCCAGATTACGAGATCCACAACAAAGATCCAGATTACGAGATCCACAACAAAGATCCAGATTACGAGATCCACAACAAAGATCCAGATTACGAGATCCACAACAAAGATCCAGATTACGAGATCCACAACAAAGATCCAGATTACGAGATCCACAACAAAGATCCAGATTACGAGATCCACAACAAAGATCCAGATTACGAGAGCCACAACAAAGATCCAGATTACGAGATCCACAACAAAGATCCAGATTACGAGATCCACAACAAAGATCCAGATTACGAGATCCACAACAAAGATCCAGATTACGAGATCCACAACAAAGATCCAGATTACGAGAGCCACAACAAAGATCCAGATTACGAGTTCCACAAAAAAAGATCCAGATTACGAGATCCACAACAAAGATCCAGATTACGAGATCCACAACAAAGATCCAGATTACGAGAGCCACAACAAAGATCCAGATTACGAGATCCACAAAAAAGATTACGAGATTAGCAACGGTGATCACAAGAGAGAGTCACATCACGAGATGAATAATAACGATCACAAGAGAGAGCCACATCATGAGATGATTAACATAGATCACAAGATAGAGTCATATCACGAGATGAATAACTAGGTTCACAAGATAGAGCCACTTCACAAGATCCTCTTCATCCAGAAATTCAAGTCTGCTACGCCCAGAAAAGTTCATTACGACCAGCTATCAATAAATCAGACATCCATTATCAATTTACTCGCTGGATCAATAGGTAGACATGATTCTCATGGTATCCCTCCACCTCTACAACGGAGGAAGTTCATGCTGCCAGAGGCCCTCGACAGCGGCGTAAAAATCGAATACCACAGAAATAACGGTAATAATCTTACTGCTTCGAGCTTAACAAAATAAAAACCTGGCCATCCCGACGCCTTCGTTATTCACCGGAGTGATGGAGGCTGCCGTCCTCCTCGAAATGGTCGAGGAATAACCGGGAGGAATAACGCTTAAGATTAGAAAAAAAAATGACGCAGCTTCCTTTTGACTCCCTCACTAACGTATTCGACCGACGACTGCTGGAAGCCATGCTGGAAATGAAGCTCTCGTTAGAGTTGTAGATGAATGGTTCAGAGAACCGACACGTTGATAAATTAGACACATGTGCAACTCTTGGGTATCTTTATTGAGGAAACATTTCACCACACAGTGGCTTCATCAGTCCATACAAAGAAGAATCGTGAAGAACAGGAGGAGAATGAGGTAATCAGTCCCTCAACCTTGAGTCGATGTGGTCAGTCCATCAGTCTTGAATAGAATACAGCACATGAGCCGAGAAGTAGCTTATATACAGTAGGCAGGAGAGGTGCAGAAGACGTAGGTGGTGTCACATTTGTTCAATGTATGGATTGATGAAGCCACTGTGTGGCGAAACGTTTCCTCAATAAAGATACCCAAGAGTTGCACATGTGTCTAATTCTCTCGTTAGAGTTCTTGGGAGGAGTTTCTCCAGCGAACTACTATGAATGATAAATGCTATTAAAATGCCCTGCATCTTCACCAGAAATCAATGAACGCGTATGATCTGCTTCCACTGGATACGTCCACCTACCTGTGACAGAGTCTTCGTCAGCTGCACGTCCCTCACCTGACGCCAGTATAAGCGCCAATCTCACTTACCGAGAGTACACAAATAACCCGCACTTAAGAAACATGACAACGTTATGGTCCGACTTGGATCATTAACAAGTCACTCCATTAACTATGTGTGTTATTTGTGTATTGAACATGAATGGTATCCAATACCTACAAGATGAAGAATTACATATACAACATCTGGGTATCTTATTTGTAGACGTTTCTCCATTCAGCGGCATCATCGTCTACAAATAAAGATACCCAGATGTTGCACATGTCTAATTCTTTATATTTGTTTGTTCATTGTTCCAGTCTTGGTATTGTGCTTTCTTGTTCACTCCCGAGAATATTTTTGGTACAATGAACTGTTTATCAGTTTTTCTTATAGTCAAAATGACTGGAAAGGGAAGTAAATTGTCGTTTTTTTTACAGAGGAATAACATGTATGATCCCTTCTTCCCTGCCCCTTCCTCCCCTTTCGCCCCTTCCGCCCCGCCCACCCCGCCCGCCCCACCCGAAAAGCCCGCCCCGTCCTCCCAGCTGCCCCATTTATATTCCCTTCCCGCCCTACCCGCCCCTGGACACCTTCAAAAATATGTTATCTGCTGCAATCTTGGTGGTCGGCACAAATATCCATCTCATCACTGCTGATGATTACCTGGCCTCCAGAGTTACGTCTGTCCCACACGCTCATTCCTCACCACGTAACACCTGCGTCACGTAACCGACACACACATTCCTCACCACGTAACTCAAGATTGAAATTGATCTCTCTGAGTGGTGGAGGAGCCAATCACCGCCGGGTAATCAGGAGTGGTGGAGGAGCCAGTCACCGCCGGGTAATCAGGAGTGGTGGAGGAGCCAGTCACCGCCGGGTAATCAGGAGTGGTGGAGGAGCCAGTCACCGCCGGGTAATCAGGAGTGGTGGAGACAGTCACCGACAGGGAATCAGGAGTGATGGAGGAGCCAGTCACCGGCGGGTAATCAGAAGAGTGATAGGCTACCTGACTGTTTCTTGATCTAGAGTTATTGTAGCAACAGTAATGCTGATGTATCAACAGTGGTGCAGATGTATCAACAGTGATACAGATGTATCAACAGTGATTCAGATGTATCAACAGTGATGCAGATGTATCAACATTGTTGCAGATGTATCAACAGTGATTCAGATGTATCAACAGTGATGCAGATGTATCAACAGTGATTCAGATGTATCAACAGTGATTCAGATGTATCAGCAGTGTTGCAGATGTATCAACATTGTTGCAGATGTATCAACAGTGTTGCAGATGTATCAACAGTGTTGCAGATTTTATCAACAGTGTTGCAGATGTATCAACAGTGTTGCAGATGTATCAACAGTGTTGCAGATGTATCAACAGTGTTGCAGATGTATCAACAGTGTTGCAGATGTATCAACAGTGTTGCAGATGTATCAACAAGTTTGCAGATGTATCAACAGTGTTGCAGATGTATCAGCAGTGTTGCAGATGTATCAACAGTGTTGCAGATGTATCAACAGTGTTGCAGATGTATCAGCAGTGTTGCAGATGTATCAACAGTGTTGCAGATGTATCAACAGTGTTGCAGATGTATCAACAGTGTTGCAGATGTATCAGCAGTGTTGCAGATGTATCAACAGTGTTGCAGATGTATCAGCAGTGTTGCAGATGTATCAGCAGTGTTACAGATGTATCAGCAGTGTTGCAGATGTATCAACAGTGTTGCAGATGTATCAGCAGTGTTGCAGATGTATCAACAGTGTTGCAGATGTATCAACAGTGTTGCAGATGTATCAACAGTGTTGCAGATGTATCAACAGTGTTGTAAATAAAACCAGAGAAATGTTGTGCAACACTTACAAGTAAATAAGCAAAACACGTGTGCAAAAGTTGGATATCTTTATTGTTTAGACGTTTCGCCCTACACGGTAGGCTTCATCAGTCAAACACAGAGAACAAATTGGAGAGTACAAAGTGGCGAGGTTAAGATGAGGTGATCAGTCCACCAGCCATGGAGAAATATTTATTGAGATTGTCAGTCTCGACTCACGAAATCGTAATACCATGACTGCAAACAATTCATGGAACAGATGAGGGTTGAACCCATGGCGAGTCCTGAAACTCACATGCCAGTGCGCTGACCACTAGGCCAGCTTGCTCTAATAAGACTCATTCAACTAGGCATTTTTCTGCACACCATAGGGAGGTTAGCATGGGCCACCACAGTGACCACAAATGCAGGGACTTATAGACGAATCCCACACGGTCCTTCACCCTGAAGAAGAGTTCAGATAGTCTGAAACAATATGAAGCTGAGGTTTGAGATCTGAGTCTTGTATACTGCTGAAGGTGAGGAGAGGAAGGTCTGG